AAATAAGTTGTAGGCCATCATAATGGTGGTGTGGTGGTTGTGTGCCACTGAGAAGGTTGCAACTCACAGTGACCTTATAGTGTTTCTGAGGCTGTAAGTCTTTATAGGGGCATAAAGTCTCCCTTGGAGCACCTGGATAGACTAGATCTACCGACCTTGTGGTTAGCAATCCAGTTGGTAATCCACCACACTCCCAGGGTTTCCTTAAGTGTCATGATACTACATTCAAAATACAAGAACATTGGCCTTTATAACCAGCATATCAACAGGTTCAATACATTAACATTGCTATATTGATACTATCTAATATAGATTGTATCCAAATTTCTCTAATTTTCCTTCCAAACCCTTGACATTTTTTGGTTTTTGACTGATAGTCCAATCAAAGCTCATGTCTAGCCTTTGCATGGCATACCACTTCAATCTCCTTCAATCGATAATAGTTCCTCCAACTTTTACAACAAAGGCAATTTTGAATAACACAAGTCAGCTGTACTCAGGAATAGCCTATGTAATGTCTCATAATTGGACTCAAATTAAACATTTTGACAAAAGCAGTACATGAGTGGAGTTGTGTACCTCCTACAACAACATCAGTTGGTACACGACAGTTTGTCCTATTACTGTAGACATTAAATTTCATTATATGAATAAAGATAGTTTTCACCAGACTGTTCCATTTTGAAGGTATCTTTTGTCCTTTGCAATTAATAAGTAATTTGTGAGTTGATTTTTGATACACTTTCTTAATGCATTTAAGAGCACTATAATTATAATTATTTCTTAACTTGAAAGGAAAAAAAGCGGTGAACGTGAAGAGCGGTTCCAAAAGGGAAAAAAATTTCATGTCCAGTGATGAATCATTCCACTTAAGGAGAATAAATTTAAAAAAAAAATAAAAAAATAAGGAGGCAGAGAATGGAAGTGACATGGCCACAGGAGACTCCGGTGACCTCATTTATTTGTTTACATTTTCTTCTTGCCCACTCCCTGTATAGCTTCCAGTGGAGCAGGAGAGCTTTGAAATAAAAACATTTATCTTCAACAAATCAGCATTAGAATGAGAGTCATTCATTTAGTCTACTGCAGGTCATTACTATTTCTGGTCTAGAATGGACTAAATGTAAAATTCTGATAGAGATTAAGAGAAGACTCTTACCATCCCCTCTGGGGCAAGCCTACCAGATGCAAAGACACATCTGTGCAGCCTTCCTTCCCTCTCATCTTCAAACAAACTTATGGACCCAGTCTCCTATTCATAGTGTTTCAGTCACACCCTACCCAGTGCAGGTTGTTGTTGTTAAGTGCCATCGAGTCAGTTCCGACCCATAGCGACCCTGTATAGGGTTTCCAAGGAGCAGCTGGTGAGCTTGAACTGCCAACCTTGCAGTTCAAACGGCTTTGCAGTCTGGCGCATTAACCCACAGTGCCACATCTATTCTAAAACCTCGACCCTGTTAGCCTATCTCATGTCCTTCTGGAGGCAGCCATGAGTTCCCTGAAAGCAGAGCCTCTGCAGCAAGGTGTCTCCAGTATCCAGAGAGAAGGCACAGAGCAGGAAATATTTACCAAGTAAAGCTATAGACAGCAGTTCTGTCATCCATTCCTTTGCATATTGCCTATATCTCGCTGGTAAGAGGTAGAACTGGTATCATACTAATGGTTAAGAATGTGGGCTTTGGCCCCTGAAGCCACAGATTTAACCATTATCCATCCAACAGTTCTCAAGGTATTTCATCTCAAGGTACAATGACTCATTAAGCACGTAAAGTCCCTACCATTTGTTGTTGTTGTTAGTTGGCTCCCAACTCATAATAACCTTATGGATAACAGAATGAAACACTGTCTGGTCCTTGCAATATCAATAACTGTTGGTATGTTTGAATTTATTTTGGGGGCTATTGTTTCATCTCATGGAGTGTTTCCCTTGTTTTTGCTGATCCTCTACTCTTATCAAACAGGGTGCCTTTTTTCTACGGTTCCATTTCATTTTTAATGACTTTCAATTTTCCTTGATTCATACTCTGTATATTCCACACTCATTTTGAGTTATGCTACAGAAGCATAAGCCCCAAAGGCTTTACTCCACCCCATCATTAAGGTTGACTCTATGTTGAGACAGCAGCTCTTCTCCAATTACATTTTCAAAGCCTTCTTGGGTAGCTCATCTACCAGTAACATGTTAGATAGATTCAACTGTTAGACCTAGACTTTTCATTGTCTACTTTGGTCATAGATTGCTAGACTTTTCCTTGAGTCTGTCTTGGTCTGGAACCTCTGCTGAAACCTGTCCACCATGGATAATCCTGCTGATATGTGAACTGCTATTGGCATAGCTTCTGGTTTCATAATAACACACAGACTACCACAGTACAACAAACTGATAGATGGACAGTAGTAGCCTTAGTCCTTAGATAGCCATTGAAAGTCCTCTCTAGAATGGCACCACCTACTTCTGTAATCTTAACTTCCAATATTTCCTACTTTCAGCATGGACAGTCCAATCCAACTAGAATACCCAGTGTTGTGTCAAAGTTGTCTCCATCAGAAATAAACCCAGTTTTCTACTATTTTACCACTTGCCAATCTCAATTTAATGTCTTACTCAAAGTGTAACTACTCCATAAGCATTTATCTATCCTTGCCTTTTTTCTCTGAATTCTCAAAAAAAAACCCCACTATTAATTCACTTGTAATTTTTTATCTTGTGTTATGATAAAATGTCACGACTCCAACATATACTAAACTACCAACACCTTTAAAGGTAAACCCACACTGGCCTTCTATTGCTTATTACCCAACAAAACTTAGCAAGATAGCCTGCAAACAGGCAGCTGGTGGATTTTTCTGAACTGAGTAAATTTTCCTTGAGTAATTCAGGCCTCAACTCATATTTTTCTTACTCTGTCTAGTTACCAAAGAAGTTCATCTCTTATTTTCTGTGTCCAAAGCTGATCACCTCCATAAAACCTTTCTTACAGATCCAGGCTCAAACATAACAAAAATTGTGAGGAAGGTACAGAATCAGGCAGTGTTTTTATTCTGTTGTGCATAGGGTCGTTATTAGGTGGAACTGACTTGAGGGCACCTAACAACAGAAGCAATATATTTCCAGCCTATTTAGCTCTCTTTATCTTATTTCATAGAGTTAAGTTTTTCTGTAAGAATGAAATGAACAAATTAATGTAAAGTACATATAACAGTAACTGCCATATCATGTTGTTGTTGTTGTTGTTAAGTGCCAGCAAGTCGATTCTGAACTATAGTGACCCTGTAGAGGGTTTCCGAGGAGCAGCTGGTGAGCTTGAACCACCGGCCATATCATAAGCACCCAATAAAAGTGATGATTCCAGATTCTCTCTCACGGTTAGTTTGAAAAGATTTTATACTGATTGGTGACATGTGTTCTATTGTTGCCAGGAACTTAAATTTAAATCAAGTGTTATTAATAGATTGTTATATGGACGTATCTTGTTTTCTTAAATAAACTGTAAGCACCAAAGAGCAGAGGCCATTGATTATTGATCATATTATACATGCCAAGAACTTGGCTAAGTGCTTTCTATAAATATTTCATTCAGCACTCAAAACAACAGTACAAGTTATCTATTATTTATATATTATAGATAAAACAAAACAAAAATATATAGAGAGGGTACTTTTTTCCAGTTTTCTAAATTAGTAAGTAATAGAGCTTGAAGACAAAGACTATTTAATTTATATCTGTTTTTCAGAGTATTCAATATATATCTACTATACAATTCAATTTGATTTTCTTTATTGCTATGCATTTTGTTGCTGTGATATTTAAAGCATATATACTTGGAATGTCAGTATTTAACTTTTAATGCTCCTTAATACAGGTACTTGTGACCCTGTGTAGGGTTTCTAAGGAGCAGCTGGTGGATTTGAACTGCTGACCTTGTGGTTGGTTCACAGTCCAGTGCTGATCCTACAATGCCATACCAGAAATCTAATAGAGAATAGTCCTCACCTCCAACATGACATTTTAAAAGTTTATCTTAGACACCAATCCAGATATTCTCCATTGTAGTTACAAGAGCATGAGTGTACATATATCTTCTTCTGTTATGTTTCCATCACTGGTTTGGAGAAGGGGTAAGTTAAAACAAAACAAAACTCTAAGAAACATCTTGTTCTGGAACTTGGATAGGGAAAGGACTGACAGTGTAGTATTTAATGCCCAATTCCTCATTTGTGTATGAATCTTTAGGCCAGTAAGAAATCTGGATACTAAAAAAACCCTATTTCTGCCTAATTAAAGCTAATTAATTGCTAAAAATTATTTTAATCAAATTTTTACCTCTGCAAATCTTTACAAGTTAAGAGTTGTCGTTTAGTTGGTTCTGACTCAAGTTGCTGTTGTTATTAAGTGCTGTCGAGTCAGTTCTGTCTCATACAGACCCTGCATAGGGTTTCCAAGGTTTGACTGATAGGCTTGAACCACCAAACTTGTTGTTGAAAGCCCAGTGATGATCCTACCACACCACACCAGGACTCCATCCAATTCACAGAGATCCTGTAGAGAGTTTTCAAGGAGCAACTGGTAGTTTTGACCCACCTACCTTGTGGAGTCCTGGTATGGCGCTGCAAGATAATGCACTGGACTGCAAGGTCAGTTTGAACTGCAAGGTCAGCGGTTCAAACCCACCAGTCTCTCCACATAAACCCTATACATGGTGGCTATGAGTCAGAATTGACTCAACGGCACACAACAACAACAATAACAACCTTGTGGTTATCCTACAGTGCTTATACTATAGCACCATACCACTTAGGTTTCCGCAAGCTAAGTAGATAAATTTATGATAAGCTCAGAAAGGAAGTCCCACAATTGCTCACTTGGGGGCGTATGCATACCAGCTCCCATGTATCTGGCCTCAAATACTTTAACAGTGGGGTGGATAATAATTCAAATTACTAACTAAGAAAGTTAGAATAGGGCATTGAATTCAGCAGTCAGCTCCGACTTCACTTACCAAAGTATTCATCGGCAGGTGGGTTTTCCATGTCATACAGCATCTTCTTGGTCAGATGCTCAAGCTCATCCTCTGGACGGAATGAGGAGGTTACAGCTGGAGGACCCATTGGTCCTGGGTGTCCAACCTGAAAAGCAGAAAACACCACAGTTTTTAAATCCAACTTAGAAATCAACAAGGGCAACCAGATCAAAGAAGTGATGTTTTATGTAGCTGGAGATGGTCACTAAGTGACCTGGGTTTTAGAAATATTTTTTACTACTTATCCAGTATCTGACTGTACTTTTATCACTTTGTGTAATATAATTTACCAGACATTAGAAATCCATGTTTATAGAAGAAATCTACCATTCTGGAGGGGCTGTCATAAAGCAAGCATGGTAATTATAATGTCAAATTATTCAAGGTTTCTGCCTTCAACAACTCACAGTGAAGGGAGAAAGAAACATGGAAATAGATCATTACAATAAAATGTAAGTACTGAAACACAGATATGAAATCTAGTGCCCTGAGATGAGAGGAGATGACTTCTTGAAGAATAAACTGGATTTCACTAGATAAGCAAAAAAAGGAAGAAAAAAGAAAGAAGGGCCTTTAAAGACATTGCTGTTGTTAAGTGCCGTTGAGTTGGTTCCGACCCATAGCGACCCTTTATAGGGTTTCTGAGGAGCAGCTAGTGAGCTTGAACCTCTGACCTTGTGGTTCAAATTGACTTTGCAGTCCAGTTCATGAACCCACAGCACTCCATTTAAAGAAGAGTACATATAAAACAACATGTTTTTCCAGCAAAAATGTTGAGAAATGCAGGAGGAGAGGAGTTAAGAGTCTCTGAGTGACACAATGGTTAACTATTCAACTATGAACTGAAAGGCTGGTAGATCAAACCCAGTGAGAAGTGTCTTGGATGAAAGGCCTACGATATGCTTTAGAATGGTCACAGTTTTGAAAACCCCATGGAGCAGTTCACGATGAGTTGCAATCATCTCAACAGTAATGAGTTTTAGAGCTAAGATGAGGTTAGAGAGATAGGTTGAAGTCAATGCCAGGACTTCGTATTTAGGTAAGAGAGAATCATTAGGGGATTTTAAGAGCATAGCTGACTTCATTAATGTCATGCTTTTGAATTATGTAAATCTGCAAATCTTTTGAATACCAAGGCCAATGAGACTTCAAGAACTGCAATCAAATAGCATGGTATACCTGAGCAATGGCCCTATAGTTGTGATGGGGAGTGCTAGTGTAGCGCTGTAGGATAAGTACCAGACTTCTCAGTGCAATGGCGATAGTTCAAACCCACTAGTCCCTCCTTGGAAACCCTATACAGGGTTGCAATGAGTGAGAACTAACTTGATGGTACTTAACAGCAACAACAGCAATGTTGTGGTGGAGACTGACAACTTAGCTTACAAATCTGTTCCCTCTTCTTTCTGGGCATAAAACTAGACTATATATTTCCCATCCTCCTTTGCTGTTACACCTGGTTATATGAGGCCCAAGATGGAAGGAGTCTGGGTTCTGAGTTACCACATGAAGACGAGCTAGCCACAAACTCTTAAATGAGAGAGACTGGAAAGAAATATGCTCAAAGGTTAATGGTTCAAAGTGATGGCTAAGTGGGTGGTTTTTATTTTTTCCATTTATATTTCTATGTATTTTATTTTTCTACAACAAATATTTTCTCAGATATGAAAAGAATACTATAATTTAAAAAAATATCAGAAGTAAGAAAATGTCCAAGTATCTGCACCTGGCACTTTTCTGCCAGTGTTCTTTTCTTGCTGGAAATTCCGGAGTTTTTATCCCTGTTGCTGTTGTTGTTACTAAGTGCTGTTGTGTCGGTTCTGACTCATAGTAATTGGGTTTCTGACAAGCAGCTGATGAGTTTAAACCGCCGACTCTGTGGTCCAAACCAACCTTGCAGTCAAATGCTTATCCTACAGAGCCACACCATGACTCCTTGCTATCCCTTGTTGTTATTGTTGTGAAGTGCTTTGAGTCAGTTCCGACTCACAGCAACCTTGTATGGGATTTCCAAGAAGCAGCTGGTGAATTTGAACTGCCGACCTGGTGGTTCAAACTGACCTTGCAGTCCAGTGCTTGATCTTACAGTGTCACCCCAGGACACTTAATATAGACGTAACACTGAGACCTAGGTCCCTGATTAAAGTTATGGGTAGGACAGTACAACCAGGAGGGCTTGTTTCTGAAAGCTTACCTATTTAGAATCTGCCTAATCTTGGGGCTAAACAGGTTTCTATAAAGGAAAGTCTGGCGATTTGCTTATGAAAATCCTAGGGATCACAGCAGTTGGACCACATTATACATTGGGTTACCTTGATACAGGATCCAACTAGACAACAGCCAACAACAACAATCTTAGTCCTGCCTTTACATTCTCTGGCTTCAGTGCCTTTATACATAAAACATGTCTCTATGTTCCTCTGATTCTATTCTGTCATGTTTTTTTGTGCCCGCACTATGCAAGGCATACAGCATCATGGATATTGATAGTGAAATCACAGATAGTCACATTTACAGGTACTTTGTGGTCTACAAAAACAGACACACACTGAGTAAGTGGAAACCTCATTATTACAGAGATTTCCACTTACAGAAATACTAAGGTCACTTGTCAGCATCCCCGGAAACAATCCAGAACTTCATTCAGCATTCTTAAACTGAGTAAGCAAAGGGCAGGTCACAGGGTTTCTGCAACCTACTGAACTTTCACTATACTTTGGGCATAAAATCAAGAACATACGTAAGTAAATCAACTTACCCTACCATCACCTCCTGTGGATAGAGAAGGCACAATCCTATGGCTACTCCTTAAGAACAAAGGAAAGGTGGAAAAAGCAGCCTGCTTTAAGGCAATATCATCAAAGGCTTGGGGAGGAGGAGTGGATGAATCAGGGACACCCATCACCTTGAGTCATTGCTATCACATTTAAATATTTAAATACATGTACTAAGGAACCATTTTACAAAGTGGCTACCCAATACCTGGTCACCACTTCAGTCTCCTGAGTTCCTCTGACACTGGCCTTGGCATAGGCCATTATTCTCCCATGAGTCCTTTCAGGCCCTTGATTTCCAAGTGACTTGGTGCTAGATAATTTGAACTCATTGTGAATTCAAACCTTATTAGCAAAGCACCACCCAGGCAGATAAAACACTGGGAAAAGGTAGCCAAGATACTCAGAAAGATTACATGATAATGAACACTCTATCACTCTGGGCAACAGAGCTGCTTATTTTTCTTGTCCATTTGTAATGATGTACAAGAGGTTCCTTCTCTCATAGGGAAAATAACTTCAATTATGTGTTCTTGAAAAAAGAAACATTGATATTATCTTCTTTTCAAAAGGTAGCATTAATCCCATTTTGGAGCTGAAGTTCTGCCAGAAAAAATATATTTCTGATATTTTCGTTCTTCGCTTCTCCTTAGTTAGATGTGTCAAGTTTGCAGTTTGCAATTTCTTGTGGCTACCTTGTCTTTCTGATGCTCACTGAATTGCCATACTCTCCCCTCAATGTGTCACTATTTAACGAAAGGAACAGATCCTTCTGGGCAAGGGTAGATGTCTGCTGGATAATTCTTCTGCTACAGATTGAAACAACTGGCCACAAGGCAATGAGCCACAGAGAATTAAGGAAGGGAGGAGAACCTATTTGTTAACAATTAGAACCCACAAGTGAAAATTCCTCAGTAGTAAAGTATGCTGTTTTTTTCTCTATTCATCCAATCCATTCCATTGCTTGAAGAATGAATGATAAGTGCATGAAATGAAAGATCCAGGCATTTTATCTTTTGAAGTTTGATTCTACCTATGAAACTCATTCCAGTCAGCCCTCAATTTTCAAATTTGATTTTCCCTTTTTCATGCCATGCACTGATGTCTGTAAGTCCTCTTTCTCATGCCAAATTTGCAGTCTTACCCAAAGATTTATGATTCTGAATTATAACATGATAGGGATACAGTAAGACTTACTATAGCCAAGAGAAAGGGCTGGGGCTCTACTAAGACAGTTGTGGTGTTTTACCACCTGTGCACTATGGTGATCAACGCCCATGGTAACAGCAGTCAGGAAATCCAAGAACATATTACATTGGGCAAATCTGCTGCAAAGAGCTCTGAAAAGTGTTTTAAAAGCAAGCTGTCAATTTGAATACGAAGTGGCACCTGACCTAATCCATGTTCTTTTCAATCACCTTGTATGAACATGAGAGCTGGACAATGAATAAGGAAGACTGGATAATAACTGATGTGTTTGAATTATAGTGTTGGCAAAGAATATTAAATATACGATGGACTGCCAGAAGAACAAAAAAATCTGTTTTGGAAATACAGCCAGAATGCTTCTCAGAAATGAGAATGGCGAGACTTTGTCGCACATACTTTGGATATATTATCAGATGGGACTAATTTCTAGAGAGGACATCATGCTTAGCCAAGTAGAGAGTCAGCGAAAAAGAGGAAGAGTCCTCCTTTTGAGGAATGAGATGGATTAACAACAGTGGCAGCAGCAATGAGCTCTTCTGCAAGGTTAAAAGGAGTTATTCACATAATGATGACTATTTTGCATTACCCCATTAATTAGACTTTATTATGCTCCTTGGAGTACTGGTATGGCACTGTAGGATAAGCACTGGACTACTAACTGAAAGGTCAGTAGTTCAAACCTACCAGCTGCTCCTTGATAACCCTGTTACGGGTTACTATGAGTAGCAACCAACTCGATGACACTTAACATGCTTCCTGTGTTAGGCGCCATTGAGTTGGTTTAGACTGTCTCATTAGTGACCCTGTGCACAGCAGAACCAACCACTGCACAGTCCTACACCATCCTCACAATTCTTGTTTCGAGCTCATTTCTCCCACCACTATGCCAATTCATGTCCTTTGGGGTCTTCCTCTTTTTTGCTGACCCTCCACTTTACAAAGCACAATGAATGAATGCTACGCCCTTCTCCAGGGACTGGTTTCTCCTGGCAACATGTTCAATGTATAAGAGACGAAGTCTTGCCAACCGGGCTTCTAAGGAGCATTTGGCTGTACTTCTGCATAAACAGATATATTTGCTATTCTTCTCCGACACCATAACTCAAATGCATCGATTCTTCAA